CCCCCAGCACGCTGTCCAGCCCCCAAACGCTGGCAGGCCAGCATGGCCTTTCCCACCAGTCCCAGAACTGGGCCAGAGGAGGCCGGGGGGACGTGGCAGAGCAGCTGATGCCCGGTGAAACCAGTCGGCGCCTCTGAACCTTCCCGTCTGTGCTAATGTTGTATCATTAGCGGTTGGAAAAGCTCTCGGAAGTTAAATATTAAGCAGCGTGTGTGCCGGGAAACACGGCCTTTTGCACCTGGGGCTGATGGTCAAGGCCGTGGCCCTTGGTCTTGGTTTTAGAATTTTCTGTCAGGCTTTCTAAGTGATCATTGGTGTGGAGGGAACTCGGGGGTCCTATATTCCAGAGTCTCTGAAGGACCCCAGAAACGGGCCTGTCCCTCAAAGAAACTCCCGGATGTCCCTGGTCAGGCAGGGCTGGACCAGCGGCTTTCTGAAGGCTCCTGGGACTCCTGGGGCTGAGCCTGGCAAGCCCCTCCCCAGGAAGGCTTAGCTCAGCCCCAACCCCAGGGACTGGCCTGGGGGTGAACAGGAGGACATGGGGACCTCCTGGGCCTGTGGCCGGGACAACAGTGGGGCCTCTTTCCCAAGGCCTAGGGGAACAGGCCCCGGGGCAGGTGCCAGGTCTCGTGCATGGTGCACAGGTGGAGGCAGCCTCCCAGGCCGAGGACAGCAGCCTGAAGACCGGAAAGGGGGCTCTGATCCTTCCTTCCTCCCTCCACAAATGCTTCCCCAAAGCATCAGCCACTCTTGTAGCCACTCTGAGCCTGAGGCAGCTGTGCCAGAGCCTAGGTGCTGCCCCTGCGGGGGCCCCCGGGCCAGAGGGGCACAGACAAATCAGGCTGTTTGGGTGGGGAGTGGTAGGAGCTTTGGCAAAACACAGGACGAGACCTTTAGCTGTGCACTGGGCGGTGGTACTCGGATGTTCAGACAGGGGCACAGGCATTACCTCCAGGACATGAGCGGAAGGGGGTAGGAGGCTGGGCAGGGGCTCAGCACGGAGCTTCGCGAGATGGTGCAGAGGCAGCGGGCTGCCCACCCGCATCCCACCATCCCGTTGCTTAACTTCCTTCCATGGGGAATGCACGTGCCCTGTGGTTCACAAGTGTTTTTGTGTTTGTGTCTGTTCTCGACAGCAGGCACCAGGTCGGTGCCACTGTACCCTCTGGGATTAGTGGATGGTAAGACATGTGGTGAGTGCTGAGTGGATTCTGAATAGACAAATGGATAGGTCGTTGGATGGATGAGTGGGCTGTAGGGTGGATGTGTGGATGCGTGGATGGATGATGGATAGGTAGATGGCTGGCTGGGTGCGTGGGTGGGTGGGTGGGGGATAAAATAGATGGACCCTTTTCATCTGTCATTTCAGTTCAAAGCAGAGGTTGCAGCCTTTCACAGGGAGTACTAAAGCCCGACTCTTGAGCCACCTCTGGGGTGGAGACAGCCTTGTCTGTTCACAAACACCTTTTTGCCCTAAATGAAACTCCCCAGGGGCTGAGTCTCCAGCTACTGCTGAGCACAATGTTTGCTTATCTCAGGGTCCCCCTCACTGTGGAAAGTGAAGCCGTCTCCTTGGGGTGCAATTTCTGAGATCAGGTGAGGAGGGGGTGGGTGCCTAGGGGTGGGATTCTCCTTCACTGAGAAGTTCCGTTAAGGGAGAACTCCCTGACTAGCACACGCGCACACACACACGCCCTGTAGTCTGACCTGCCGCCTGGAGACTGGATTTGCAATCCCTCAGGCTTTGGGACCTGGAGGCCTAGGGGTTCCCTGGGGAACTTCAGAAGAGGGGCAGCCCTCAGGATGCGGAGAATCCAGAGCTGACCCCCAGGGGGAGGGGAGCCTGCAGGCAGAGTCAGTAGATGTCAGTCAGCCTGGGCTGCTCTGCAGGACCTGGCAGGGTGGGCTTGGAGCCTCCTTCTGGGCCTGAGCGGTCAGGGTCGGCCTTCACAGAAGGCTGCTGCCCATGGGGGTCATTCCTTCTAAATGGGCTGATGCTCGGTTGGCCCCTCCGGTCCTGCTCTCTCACACATGTGTTAGGGCCACCGGACGAATGCTGGCTAAGAGCTACATCACTGGCTCGACCTGGCCTTTGCAGGCAAGGCCTGGGTCACTGAGAGGGCTGCAGAGGAATGGGAGATGGACTTTGGATCTTTCTGGAAGGACAGGATTGTTTGTTCGTTAGCCAGGTGCCACCAGCCGACCTCCTACGTGGCAAAGAGGTGACCACGGCCTGAATGGGGCCAGATTCTGAAATCTGTGGGCTCGGGGTTCAAAGCAAAGGCTTTGGCATCAGATCTGGGCCTAAATCCCGGCCTTGCGGCCATTCCAGCAGCACAAATAGAGCTGCTCTGGACCATCCCAGCTTTGGCCCAGGGTCAGCCTGCCTATCCTGACCTTAGCGACTGGCCCACCGGGCGCATCCAAGCCCAGGCCTGCCTGGGATCGCACCGGGCAGGTACCATGATTTTTACAGGCAGAAGGTCTCAGCAGCCCTGCGTCCAGCAAGGCTGTCCGTTTTCTAGCAGCGTCTTGGTGTCAAGTGTTGGTGATTCAGCAGTGTTTTAAACTTTTCCATTCACGTTTTATTTGTGATGCGATCTGTGCCAGTGGTTACCACTCACTGAAAGTTCAGGGGACAGTTGGCAATTTTTAGCAATAAAGCATCTTTTAGTTAAGGGATGTACATGGTTGTTCTAGACT